GGAAATTGGTCCGTGCGCAAAGCATTGTGGGGATTTGAAGGACGCAAAGTCTACCCATGTGCAAGCCTCGAAATTACCCCCAAATCAAGGACGCAGCCTCGGTGGAATTCCAAGTATGCTGGAGATTGGAACAGTCCTTCGGCGCACTGAATGACGTAGTATCCTTGAAATTGGCTTGGAATCAGTTTCCTCGAGATTGAGAAAACGGCCACTTTCCTCCTGTGTCACTTGTCCCACTCTCACTGTCTCACTCTCACTGTCTCCACTCTCTCTGTCTCCCCCTCTCTGTCTCCCCCTCTCTGTCTCCCTCTCTGACTCCCTCTCTCTGTCTCCCTCTCTGTCTCCCTCTCTCGTCTCCCTCTCTCACTGTCTCACTGTCTCACTGTCCCCTCTCTCTGTTTCACTCTCTCTGTCTCACTCTCACTGTCTTCCCTCTCACTGTCTCACTCTCACTGTCCCACTCTCTCTGTTTCACTCTCTCTGTCTCACTTCACTCTCTGTCTCCCTCTCTCGTCTCCCTCTCACTGTCTCACTCTCACTGTCCCACTCTGTCTGTCTCCCTCTCTCTGTCTCACCTCACCTGGCTCACTCCTCTCTGTCTCCCTCCCTCTCTCTGCTGCCTACTCTCACTGTCCCACTTCTCACTTTCTCACTTCTCACTGTCCCACTCTCTCTGTCCACTCTCTCTGTCTCACTCTCTCTGTCTCCCTCTCACTGTCTCACTCTCACTGTCTCTCTGTTCCTCCTCTTCTCTGTCTCACTCTCACTGTCTCCCTCTCTCTGTCTCACTCTCACTGTCCCACTCTCTATGTCTCACTCTCTCTGTACCCTCTCACTGTCTCACTGTCTCCCTCTCTCTGTCTCCCTCTCTGTATCACTCTCATGCTCTGTCCCACTCTCTGTCTCACTCTCTGTCCCACTCTCTGTCTCACTCTCATGCTCTGTCCCACTCTCTGTCTCACTCTCTGTCTCCCTCTCTCTGTCTCCCTCTCCTGTCTCACTCTCACTGTCCCCACTTCTCTCTGTCCCCACTCTCTCTGTCTCACTCTCACTGTATCCTCTCTCTGTCTCCCTCTCACTGTCTCACTCTCTCTGTCCCACTCTCTCTGTCTACCACTCTCTCTGGTCTCACTCTCCTGTCTCCCTCTCTCTGTCTCCCTCTCACTGTCTCACTCTCTGTCCCACTCTCTCTGTCCCACTCTCTGTCTCACTCTCTGTATCACTCTCATGCTCTGTCCCACTCTCTGTCTCACTCTCTGTCTCACTCTCTCTGTCTCACTCTCTCTGTCTCACTGTCTCTCTGTCTCCCTCTCACTGTCTCACTCTCACTGTCCCACTCTCTCTGTCCCACCTCTCCCTCTCTCTGTCTCACTCTCTCTGTCTCCCTCTCCACCGTCTCTCTGTCTCCCTCTCTCTGTCTCCTCTCGCTGTCTCCCCTCACCTGTCTCACTCTCTATGTCTCACTCTCTCTGTCTCCCTCTCACTGTCTCACTCTCACTGTCTCCCTCTCTCTGTTCTCCCTCTCTCTGTCTCACTCTCACACTCTCTCTGTCTCACTCTCACTGTCTCCCTCTCACTGTCTCCCTCTCACTGTCTCCCTCTCTCTGTCTCCCTCTCACTGTCCCACTCTCTCTGTCTCACTCTCTCTGTCTCCCTCTCTCTGTCTCACTCTCTCTGTCTCACTCTCTCTGTCTCCCTCTCACTGTCTCACTCTCACTGTCTCACTCTCTCTGACTCCCCCTCACTGTCTCACCCTCTTTGTCTCCCCCTGCAGGTCAGCAGTTTGTCGTCCCTAAATCTGGATATTTCTGTAACCTCTGCTCGATGTTCTACCTGAACGAGAGTACGGCGCCGGGACCGACACTGCGGCAGCCAGAGACACTACGACAACCTGCAGGTACGTGAACAACAACACACACACACACAAACACACAACACACCACACACACACACACACACACACACACACACACACACACACAGACACACACACACACCACACACACACACACACTCTCAATATTCTATTTCGTATTTTAGAAGTTACTTACCTGTATATCATTTAACTGTTATCTTTAATTGTACTAATCTTTTCATGTTGTGTGAATCTGGTGCCGTCCTGTTTTTCACTCTCACCCTGTTGCCGTTTGATCTAGTCCATCTGATTCTTAGACACACCCTTTGCTCCACTTCTCTGCCTCTAGAAACATTACGAGAAGCTGCAGCAGACACCTTCCGATTCCTCGCAGAGTTTCCAAGGATCTGTTTCCAATTGATCCCGGCGACTTCTAACTTTCTTTTGCAAAAACATTGTCAAGCTTGGAACTGTACGATTAATTACTTTTGATTTGCTCTAAATGTGTTGAACGGTCTGTGTGTGTCTGTCTGTGTCTGTCTGTGTGTGTGTGGTGTGTGTGTGTGTGTGTGGTGTGTGTGTGTCTGTAACCGTTGGAGCTTCATCTCTTGTTTTTTAAATGTATCATATGAAGCCTAGAATTGAAAGGTGAAACAGTGTTAAGTCCCATCAATGATCTCTGAGTAAAGCACCAGACTGCGTTTTTTTTTACTTAGACGTACATTAGCAACGTTATACATAATGTGAGTTATTCTTTTGTTACTCTGAGAACGTGTCGACAGTTTCTTATTGTTTTTTGTTTTGGATGTCATTATTTTTTTGCTTGTAAAAGTGAATACAAATCATAAATAAGTTCTTGTCTTTGTATCTGAAACTTAACTCCCAGTTTCTGCTAATGATATTAAAATGTGTTCACCTGAAGCTGCACCGCTTGCCTTTTCACTTCCATCATGAACACCTGAGCGTTATTACTTTGAAGTCTCTATTTTTAATTCATGCAAACAAAACTGCTGAGTTTTGTCCAAAAGCAATAAAAGATGTTGCAGATTTAGTAATTAAAATGATTAAAAAACTCTATACCTTAATAAACGATGTATGAAATAAATGACTTTAACCCAAAAGGACACATGAACTTTAAATGTTCTGGAAAGTTCCTTATTCAGTTTTAGCCTATTTTATCTCATGAAGTCCCTAAGTGACACACCCTGAACAGTCTGCTGGGTCCTGGTCCAGGTCATGTGACTTTGTGTTCCCATGACAACATGTCCATGTGCCAGGTTAACACGTGACAGAACGAGCTACATTTCCAAAGCTTTTTTTTTTTGTTGCTAAAGGGAAAATTCAAGCCATTTAATAATTCAAATGCTATACACACTGTAACATGTCCTTTATTACCTTTAACCTGTTGTGGAAACATTTCCTGATCAAATTGATATGAAACAAATGAGACAAACATCGCTGTGACACTGATCGGGACTTTAACTCTAAACCCAAAGTGACACATGCACAATTAGACATATGATTATGATCTGCTCAGTTAATTTAGCTGATTCAATTATATTGAGTTGATATGTTCTTATTCTTCAATTCAAAGAATGTTCAAACTAATTTAAACCAACAAATCATCCTCATTAATGAAGTTATATATAAGAGTGATTTTACCATTATTGATATATACGTCACATTTCAGATATTTGACACTAGGGGGGTTCTTGTCAGAAATCTGTCTTAGGTGGTCTATTTAGTCTGAATTATGTTCCCCTTAATTTTCCCAAAAGTAGAAATGGGTCCGGGTTCTTATTTAAAATTAATTTCAGGAGAACAATTTCTTGAATTCATATGTATTTATTCAAGGGACTTTTATTTCATAATGCCATCTTCTACATTACATGTTACTTGTTAGACGCTTTTCTCCCAAGTGACTTACATACTCAATACTGTGGACAATTCCCACAGGAGCACTTTGGGGTGAAGGGTCTCAGGGACACAACGGTTGCGGTCGAATAGTCCAAAAATCTGCTCCTATCGTCTATTCCTTGACCTCTGTGTGAAACGTCACGGGGTTAAGGGATAGTGGATAGGAGAATTCAAAAGCACTTAGGAGAAGAGACTGCGGTGCTTTAGAGCAGGGGTTTTCAAAGTGTGGGAAGGTGAGCCTCCCCTCAGAGAACATAAGAACAGCCGCGCCCCCCCTCCCAATTATTGTTGTAGCTGCTGTTGCTATAATGCAATTTCATTTCAAAGAGGTCAAGTAAGAGATCTTTTCATTAAATGCTCTGTTTTCGCTGTCTACCTTCCGCCATTAGAAATTACTCCGACTCTTTCTCTCCTCTTGTCTTGTATTTGTGTGTGTGTTTGAATCTATCGTGCTGACTCACTGACTGCACCGATTTGATTGGCTGAGTAGCGTCACCTCCTTAAAACAAAACAAAAAACTTTAAAAAACCTATTTATCTTTGTTTTAAACATTTTTAACATCGTGGATTATGCATTTTGCATGATAGGTCCCCTTTAATATTAAATAAACCGAGTCATACTGAAACAACTCTCTGAACTGCTGTGTTTTTCAGGTTGCTTATCTTCCGCCATCTTCCATCAGCTGTGAGTAATTTGAGAGGAAATCCATTAGGAGCATTTATAGGATCAATACTCTCTAATTGATTAATATGACAAAGTAACGCACAACGACAGCGTAACTATTTATAAAAACAAGAATGGGAGTTTGAATCCAACACACGGTCCACCTTCTTATTTTTATCTCGAGTCCTGAGGGTAGCATACTTCCTGTAAACACACACACACACACACACACACACACACACACACACACAGACTACAGTATGACCCTGATGAAAGGAGGATAAATGAGAAAAGGTGATTTCATGATTTCTTGTTTCCTCAATTCCAGCTGAAGGCAATTCAGGATTTGGTTATCTTTTTCTTTTTTGGAGATTAACTTCTGCAGGAGGATTTTTCCTATATATTTCAAAGAACAATTGATACCTTTGCGATCAGGAAAAACAATACACAAGCATTTTCCTGAATGTACGTTTTCACTAAGAATACAGTGGTTTTCTTTCAATGTCATCAAAAGATTCCTGATTTTTCCCATGTTGCGAAAAATCATTATTGAGCAACCACCATGTCAACATTCATTTGATTGTGGGTTTTTAATTGAAGTTAATTGTAATTGTATAGTTGTACTAACACATGTCCTGATATGTTGATCCATGCTATGATGTGTCGTTATGAATGTAGATTTAATAGAGACTCCGAATGACGCTGCTTTGTCCTTTATTTTACTCTAAATCAGACCATCATTTACACAATTAACCTAATTATTTATTAAAGAAGGCTTAAAACTAAAGATTGAGAACAAAAACTCACAATAGCAATGTCTACTGAGTTAATGAATCAAGTGAGAAGTCGTTCATTTTCTCATAGACTTCGATACAAGTTAATGTCCATATGCAACCAGAAGTGTTGCCCCCTGCTGGATATTAGAGAGAATGCATGTTTAAGGCACTTCCACATTGGCTTAGTAAGTTGTAACTGTCAAATATCTAAGTCAACAAACACACATTTCCATTTGAGAAGTAGGGCAATTTTCTCATAGACTTCTATACAATATTGTAACTGGAGGAGTCGCCCGCTGCTGGATATTAGAAGGAATGCAGGTTTAAGGCATTTCCTTATTGCTAACCCTTACAGACCCAGAGGTTGCCGCTTGATTTGAACCAATAAAAAGTAGAAGAGGAAGTTCCTGTCAGATGTTGTGACAAGTTCCTCCTAAAATCCCCTAATTTCTTACATCAAGAAGAAGAGGGGTTTATAGATGCTGTTCAAAGACCCAGAACCACTTAAATCTAAATCTTTTTGACGCCTTTAAAGCGGGAAGATTTCCGACACTAAGTTTGAGTTTTGCTGTGAGTGTCGCAAAGAAATAGTACAGATGTCGTAGTATTACTTTAAACAAACGCTACTGTCTTTCTCCTCCTGCCATCTTTGATTTATACCATGCTGTTGCCTTCAATAGCACTTTGTTTTAATTGATGTGAGTTCGGCGACATTAATCATGAGTAAGTAAGATTAATGTCGACCTCGATGATGGATGCCACCAGTCTGCAGGCACTGATTATGAAGCAGAGAATGGAGACAATAGAGAGAAAGACACCTGGAAAACTGATGAGCTGTCCTAAAAACACCTTCATCTCATCCTCCCACACTTTCACCCTGCCTTCGTCCGTGCTCGAGTTTTAAAGTCGGGAGGAAGAGGAGGGCTGTTTTCACTGTGTGGTGTGTGTGTGTGTGTGTGTGTGTGTGTGTGTGTGTTGTGTGTGTGTGTGTGGGTGTGTGTGTGTGTGTGTGTGTGTGTGTGTGTGTGTGTGTGTGGTGTGTGTGTGTGTGTGTGTGTGTGTGTGTGTGTGTGTGTGTGTGTGCGCTTCAGCAGCCTCAACGAACAGTCACTCGGACATCTTCACTTTCCACATGGTCGTCATGGAGCTACTTTTTTTCTTAGGGTTCAACTTCTGCGTCTATGCTGTCTATGTGGAGAATTACAAAATGTTATCTGTCGGGTTCGTTAGTTGGTATTTTGCCTGGTATGTACAGAGTAGTTTTCACATCCTGACCTGTGCGGAGCGTTACCTGGCTGTCGTGCATCCCGTCACCTACCTGAATCTGAAAGGACAGAGAGGGGTCAGAATCAGAAACATCTGCATTGGGTGTGTTTGGCTGCTTAGCTTTGCAATGTCAAATCTACCTCCTGACCTCTCATTGGTCTTTGATCTCGGGCTGTTGATTTTCTCCTTGATCGTTGTTTCCTTCTTCAGCCTTGCTGTTCTCTGCGTTCTGATTCGTCCAGGGCCAGGGGAGCAGGGCGGGGACAGGACAATAGTTGACCAATCAAAGCGCAGGGCTTTCGTCACCATAGTGGCCATACTGGGAGTGCTGTTGATCAGGTGTTTTGTTAGTCTTGTTAAGGCTGTATTTGAATTGTCAGACCAACCTGAGGATTGTGTTTTGCTGGCGGCTGAAGTCTGGTTCACTCTCCCCAGCAGTCTGGTGTTACCTCTGCTGTTTCTGCACAGAGCAGGGAAATTAGCCTGTTGTAAGAACAACAACAAATAAGAATATGATGCACCGGCCACACGAGGACGAAAACGGCTAAACGCATAGGATTAACGCAAACGCAATCGCAAAAAAGCTTCCGTCCACACGCAATATTCACCGGATAGTGTCTGTCCACACGAGACCGCTCCGTTTAGCTCCAACCGCTGGAGAAGCTGCAGTACATATGCAGGAGCCTGTACGTGGCGCTGTAACTTCCTCCACAAAAGCAGCGAAGAAGCATGGTTGTCATGGTTGCCCTTCTGTTTATTCTCCGCGGTGGGGGCCGAGGGAACCGGGCAGTTTTTCGCCAGTCAACGTGTATTAAAGTTTAAATC